AACAGAGAAGATAGAGGTTTTCCTGCATATTAGGCACTTCAGGTGATAATTTAATTTGTAAGAAGGTTGTACTTCAAAATCTATTTATTTCTGGGCTTGGATTGTACATGGTTGGGAGGAAAAGCTCATTTAGGGTAAGTTATGCATTTATAACTCCCTTAAAATGCATTTAAACCCATGACAACAAATAAACAACTGATAGTAACAGCCTGTTTGAAGTTACTGTGAATCTCTTTCACAGATGAATCCTAAGCTTACAAAAACACCAGGTCTAAGTAGCAGCTTAGTCACTCAATGGTGTTGAATTCAAAGCCCTTTCTGGTGATGCCGTGTATCCATTCTCTCAACATCTGCAACATGTTTACGACTCTAAATCTGTATTTCTACACCAAAAACATAAATCCTGTTTACATAAAAGGACAAATTTCTGAAGACATTTATGTGCCTCATGGCGTTGTTGAAAATATGGCCCTTCCTTCATCTGCTCTAAAAAAGGTTCAGGACACTTCAAAGACAATAATTGCTCAAAAGTGGAATTGTTGTTCGCCAACATGGAAACAATTTCCCCATGTCAGCTTTGTCGGTTTTCATGGACACTCTAAACAGTGTAAATTAGATTTGATTACAAAGTAATTTCTTTTTGTTGTGTCATAAATACTCTCTTGCCAGTTCGCCCCCGGGGTAGTTTTGCTTTTTATCTGTAACACTCTGTAATCCCTTCACAGTGCAGGGGCCGATATTCATTTCCCCAACCACACTCACATTTCTTGTGCATTCCAGCATGCGTTTTACCCCATTACACATATAAGCACCATGTGTTTGTCTTGCCATATTACAGTCTAAACAATGCCTCTGACGTTGTTAAGGCTCGAAAAGCCACTTGAGTTGCATGTCGCTGTGTACCAAAAATTGCCCATATGCACTTGTCTGACCTAAACAAAATTAAACCCGTCAGGGTGTCTTAGTGGATCAGACACACACGATAAACAAGCCAGAGGCCTTTGATGCACGTCTTTTCCCATCTAATTAAAACTCAAATGTCATACTAAAGAAGAACAAGGCTGGTTTTTATCTGTATTTTCTGTATTTTTTTTTTGTATTGTCAAATCCTAAGAATAGACCAGATTGTTTTACTTAAGGAAGCTAAGCCTATTATTTAATGTTAACAACGCCTGTTAAAAATGTAACATTCACCACGTTCTGCTGTTTTGCTATTGTCAGCTATTGCCTTTTAAATGTGGTGTAATTTTGCATGTCATATGCAATGACGGTCAACATGCCGGCTGGCCCGAGTGTTTTTGCATGTTGTTCTCAGATGGTCTCGGTAATAGTGATGATGACAATAGTGCATTGGGAATTCTTTTATTCTTTGTACTATCCATTTTTGACTACTGTATAAAACACTAAATTGGCTTTCAAGGACAAAAAAAGACCTACACTTTTCTTTATGATAATATTTCCATTGTTTATAGTTTGTAATATGCTGAGTAGCATATTTATATACTGCATATTTTGATTTACTGCATTTTTGATTACTGACTAGGTCCTAAACCACTGTTAAAAATGTTTTTCTTAATTTAAGATTAAAGCATTTCTCTTAAAGCAGCATTTCAAAACATTTCATGGAGACTTAACGTGTATGGTCAACTAATCTACTTCAGTTTGGTCAGATTACTTTAGAGAATTGACTATTAAAGGGAAAGGCTCTGCTCTCATAGAATTTAAGCAGCAACAAAGATTTTTTTGGCAGAATGGATCCCCCTTAATCATTGCGCACATGAATATTAAATTTCTTAAATTCAACAACACCAAAAACATAAACAGCAAAATGGTGTTAGCATGAGCTAATCAGCAGAGTAATGATAAGAAGTGTCCTGTGAGTGGATGTTATTAGTCAGCTGGTAGCCAAGCAGCTGTGAATGAGCCAGTAATCGTGAAACATGAATGGAACAGTTGATGCCAACAGCTAATAGCTAATAAAGTGTGACTTCAGTGCTCTGCCTCTAACGCTATACTCAATGTATTCTAAAGAAGCTTCAATGTACTTTCTAAAGTATGTATAGTTTTGGTATCTCTGTTTTGACATAGTGATATCACACAAAATATTAGCATATTGTGCTATGTTATTTTTTGCCCCAAATTCATAAATAGTTGATGAACCTGCGTGTACTACATTCCTTTCCACTTTGTGCATGGGATTGTCAAGTCTAACACTTTCACCTATGAGCCCTGCTCTTTTACAGAAAAATATCACTTATGATGAATTATCAGATGTTTATTATTATGATCAACAACACTGTTTCCATGACAACCACTCACGGATCCTGCTAGGGATTCTGGGCTCAAGCACAAGACAGGCCCAAAAGCCCACAGGGCCATAAGACACCATTATTAATCTGGACCTTTTAGGGCTGCATCCAGCTTGAGGCCCCTCTGGGTCACTGCTCCAGTTTCTCCCTGCCTGTCCCCAGCTTTGACACTCATCATCATCACGGGGATGATGCTATCAAAACATTTTCTGTCAAAACTCCGATAGCTGTCCCGATAGATAAGAAAACAAAGTCACGTTAGTTTTACAACCACTGTCACCACTGATCTGATTTCAGAAGAATTCCTGCGCAACCCCCCAAAAATCTCCGTGTTCACCTTGTCTTCTGTGCAAAATATGAAAAGAAACAGATATCGCTGTGCGAGCGCCAGGACAGTGAGTACACGCTGCTTAAGTGCAATCTTGGCTTTGGAAATTGTGGTTTAGGAGGATTATTTGGACAGTAAAAGAGAGGGAGAGGGAGCGAGAAAGAGACTAAGAGGCGTACAGGACACGCACACATATACACAAAGGGTTCTGAATCTGCTGTCCACGAGCCAGAGACATTATCTGGGAGTTGTCCTTTGAAATAGCTGTAGATTGACATCCTGTGACAATTTTTCAGCAGCCAAGATGGTGCAGTTTAGTGGCAATGCTGCTCTTCATCAATTTACAGTACTGAGTATATATGACTGCATCTATGGTTACACACAGTCTGACTGGGCGTAAGGATCAGGCCAATCTTATAACAGCCAAAGAATGAAAGGTATTGTATTCTTTTATAATCCATATCACTGCTATCTCTCAAACTGCTTTGTTGGCAGCAACAGGGAATTTAAATTAAAAGGTTCATTTCCACAAAACTAGCCTCAATCGTTTTCTAAGTGAAGGTCTCACTTTTGTTCAGATGATTGATATCTCATTTTGGAAAAAAAGTTTATTAATATAATCCCCTTGTGGTTATTTGCTCAGCTCAAGTAAAGCTTGGAATTCCTCAATGTTCGGTCTCCAAAATGTCAACAACAAGCGAAGAACAAACGTACTTTGTCCTCTGTCCACTCTGCTTTGCAGACCTATAAAACTCCTCATCCTTTGAAGACCCCGTGGAATTGAACAGGAAGGTCCCCTCCCATTGTACTTTTTTCACTCTCTTTAAAGTCCCACAGCAAACAGGGCGCTGTTTGCAGCGAACATCTTTAAAAGGGAGAAACAGCATAAAGTCCTTTTGTGTCGTCCTTGTTGGCTTTTCCATCTGATTACGCCGGGGCACTTGAAAGACTATACGGGTTTAACAACAATATAAACCATGTAGAAAAATGTGCTATCCATTCTGACATAGTCATTAATTGAAAAGGGCAACCTTTGCTGCTTCTCCAAAAGGGAAAATAGTCTTAAAGACATCTTGCAATAAGTCTGTCTCATTCATTAAAAAGAAGAACTTGATAAATTGTAGCTTACAGATACTGCACTACATGCTGTGCACTTCAGTGTCCATGTTTAGCCGGATGTTTTGGGGTGATTACATTTCCTTCAAACTACCACATGAGGGCGTATTGTTGGTGATGCATATGAGCTGGAAAACCAATGAATCTCATCAACTGACAATTGAAGCATGCCAATAAGAGAAGAACTGAGGCTCCAGCAATACAGTACTAAACCTGAACAAAGAAAAGGAGAATTTCTCTCCTGGGATTAATAATGCATAACATCAGGTGATACATCAAAGATCTTGCATACAAAAAAGTTTATCCTTTCACACATTAATCTTAAGCTGATGATACACGGGGCAACTTTTTGAGCAATGTTCCTGGGAAATGTTGCTGGTGGCAAGTCCGACTATGTTTTGAACAGATAGCGGTAGTGCAGGGAGGGTGGCGGAGTGGTGGGGGAAGGGGATTACGGTAGTAATCTTTACTCATTACCATTGATGGCAACATTGCCCAGCGCTATTGCTCTAAAAGTTTCTCCGTGTATCATCAGCTTTAGTCATTAGTTGCAACTAACAATTATTAATAGTATCACTTTATTTGGTGGTTATTTTATCACCATTTTGTTGTTAAAAAATATCCAACTACATTCTTTAACAGGCTTATGCGCACACACATGTACACACACACACATACAGACACATTCACCCACACGCACACAGACACACACAGACACAAACAAACTTAGGTTGTCCCTGGTAGAACTATTCCTGATGCCTTTCTTTCAGTTACTTATTTAAATTAATTATTATTCCAGCTCTCGTGGCTGTGTTGTGTTGCTTATTTAGTGTGTGTGACTGTTTCTTGTTTTCATTGTTCTCTTAGTTGTCTTAATATGTCAGCTGTTTATTGCTGCTGTTCGGCTGGTTGTCTTTTACTATTATTATTATTTTTATTGTTTTTTTGTTTGTGTTTGTTTGTTGTTGTTGTTTTTCTCCTCCCCAAGCCCCCCTCTCTGTTCTATTGCAGGTTTCGTTGCTTTCTGCAATTGGTGTTTCCCACTGCTTTTCCCTGTTGTCCTCACCTTCCATCCCCCTTTCCCCCTTCTCTTACAGGTGTTGTCCTTTCTCTGTGCTGTCTGTTTGTGCCCCCCCATCCCCGTGTCTGCCCCCCTGTCCGGCCCGGTGACAAATAATAAATATTATAATTAAATAAATAATAAAACAGACAAAGGAGTATTTTAATACTCTCTTGTTAAAGTAAAATCTGTCTGGCACAATATGGTATCCAGGTCATTATACTCTATACCAGGCTGCTGGGCAGGACAGGTTTAAAAAAATAAAAATAAAAAAAAATAAAATACCCATGATAATTTCCCAGAGCCCAGTGCAAACCACAAATATATTAAGTTTACTATCATATAAGACAAAGCATCAAATAATCACTTTTGTGAAGTTAGAACCAATAAATTTTTGCTTGTAAATTACATGATTAATCAATATTTCAAATAATTCTTCTGTAATAAACTAATGCAATTATCAACAGATCATCTCAGTTGCTAGGTCATCTATAGTGCTAGGTACCAGCTTAGAAAACTACATTTTCCCACCCTTTTTTTGCGATCAGTTACTTTAATCAATAAATTTATTTGTTAAAAGGAATTTAAAATAGAGAAAAGGAGGAAGATGTGTATTCATTATGGTGGACAATGCTAACAAAAGGTGGTCTTTTTATTGTTTCATAAATATAAAATTCATTTTAATAATTGTACCAAGAGGGTCAAGGGTTGGATCCCACAACAGGGCATCAGTCAGAGCTGGAATAGGATTCCACTTTTTTCGTCAGAAGCAGCAAAATATAAAAATATATATTTGCAAATATTGACGATGGTACAACTTTACCTTTAGTGATGAACTTCACAACTGAAGGCTTCAACAAAACACTGACTAAGAGAGAGAGAGAGAGAGATGTAGGGGTAAGAGGTATGTTGGGGGTGGGGATACGATGGGATGCGGGTTGCAGACTCATCCCGGGGGCTGGTGCACCGGGAGAGGCCACTGTCTCCCACCCTTCCAATGCCACAAACAGTCTCACTTTTGGAGACGTGAGCGGCTCGTATCGTACAGCCGGAACCCCGTCTGCCTCCCCCCTCCCCCACAACGCTCCCACCCGCCACTCTCTTTTTCCCAACCCAGTCCCCTATCAGTCCAGGTGGCAGAGCGCACTTCGGCCGTGGGATGCAGCCTCTCATCTCCGACACATGGACAGCGGAGCTTGGAGTTGCCGCAGCGCGCCACGGCTCCACTAGCTGAAGACACCGCGTCTCAAGAGCGGAAGGCAGAGACGGCACTCAAGCGTTTAACTCCTGGACGTAGGATAAAAAGGATATACTGGTTCCCACTTCATTTCTTATCTTTTCAAACCGCAAGAGAGCAGAACCAGCTGTGTTCAATGCGCAACCATGCTCATCATCTCTTCTCGCAGCGCGCTGCTGTCCGTCTACTACCCACAGATCTTCCTCATCCTCACCAGCGGTAGCTACCTGTAGGTTTCTTATCAATGCACTTGATTCATTCAAACACAAATCGGTTGGATTTGCTAGCAAGCAGCAGTGCCTTATGCGCAAATTGTTCAATTACGCATCGGGAACTTTGATAGTAAAATTAGACCGCGCCTGAAAGCATCAGATACTTGTTGCAGGTGTTTTATTACGACGAGGAAATGCGCTTAACATGATTTTTACATTTAGCAGGTCAGCTTCTAACGTTGCTAAATTAAGTAATGTGGCTGTAATTTGTTATGGTGTCGTATAAACAGGGCCGGACCTAGCACATTTAGTGCCTTAGACAAGGTTCCCCTGGCATCCCCCCAAAAGATTTTTGAATATAATTTTATAGCGGAATCAAATGTATTTATTTATTTTTTATACTTTCAGATATTACAATCAAAACTAATTAACAGTTTTAAAAAGCAAAGTACTGCATGTTTATTTATTACAACAAGAACAAGAGCTAATAAGAAATTAACAAAAATTTTGTTTCCAAAGGAGGGTGCAATTTTATGTTGCCTATAGTAAAACTGTTTATTTTGGAAATGGAAAGCTGTAACTTGGAATATCCAGTCAACCAAAATTTTGGAAACATGCGTGACTTGTGTTATTGAATCATTTTCATTTTATTACACCATGATATGAGCAGTTATGTCATTTTCATTCAAATATTGTGTCATAAACTGAGTAGTTATAAAGGGTCATTGACTTGAATGAAGCCAATATTTAATCTACATGATTTCTACATGTTCTAATATGTGCACAGCTGATGAGATAACCTGCTCTTATGGATTTACACATTACACCAGAACCACTTTGTCATGGGAGCACCTCGTTAGAAGGGCCATAATTGGAAAGCAGCATGTGGAAAAGAGTCATATTGGACTACTTCATGCTCTGCCTATAGGCATAAGCCTATGTAATGAGCTCTTTCTTACGGCATAAAAAGACCCAGGCCCTCACAAAGAGAATGATTGCTGCACCATACATGCCTCTCATTCATAACAAGGGCAGGCCTGAAACTTAAAATAGCTGTGGTGGTTCAGAGAGAGAGAAATGAACTGGATTTGGACCTGTATCTATACTTAACCATTGTTCTCTTTCATGTGTTTATGAAGGTCCATTACACATGATGTGATCTGGGGTAAGGATGAATGTTGCAGGGAGCGCTTATCTTCTCATTTGGTGTTGTTCATTTGGTTTTATCTTTATGATCTATAGGCTAGCACCTGTAATGAAAAGTTTAGCAAGATTTTTATTGCTTATTGGAAACAAATCTTCATCAGATCACCTAATCGTAGCCAGGTAATGTTCAACCAGAGCACAGAGTAACTCTATGTCGAGTATGTTTCTCCATTGCTTCCTATCTGTTCTCACTTCTTCCTGGTAAAAACAATCCCTCTTTAAAGTCCCTCTCATTAATCCCTGTTTCTTTCTGCCCAGGGCGCTGTCCTCTGTGGTAGCTCTAGGTGCTAACATCATCTGCAACAAGATACCGGGACTGGCCCCCCGTCAGAGAGCCCTCTGTCAGAGTCGCCCTGATGCCATCATCGTCATTGGCGAAGGCGCCCAGCTGGGCATCAATGAGTGTCAGTACCAGTTTCGCTACGGCCGGTGGAACTGCTCAGCCCTGGGCGAGAGGACTGTCTTTGGACAAGAGCTGAGAGTAGGTTAGTCTGTTTGAAACTCTTTAGATTTTCTGAAGGAGTTTTAAATGTATTTGTCTCGTATAAATCATGGGAATCAGCAAAGTAGGTTCAGAAGACAGGTGTCTTAAATATGTTTTTTCCTGTATTATATATTTATATAGATGACAGAAAATGAAGGGACAAAGAAGGGAAATGACATGCAACAAAGGTCCTCAGCTGGACTCAAACTGGGGATGTCGAGGTTTATGGTCATGGCTTTAAACCCCTCGGCCAGGAGGCCCTCCCACAGGGGGAAGACTTGTTATTGTTAAACACTAGCTAAAGAAATCCCTGGACATTTTCACAGCAGTCAGTAAGAACTACAAGTGGAAATCTTATCCTTGAGGCACGAGTGAGGACTGATGTGTCTGTCCACAGGTGTGTCAGCAGGTATGTTAATTGCCAAAACAAACTGAGCCGTGCGGTCCGATCTTCCAATCACTGAAGTTGACAGAATTGTGAGTTGAGTGCTGTGGTTTGAGATCAGCCTGTCTCCTCATTCTTCTTGTATTGTCCTTCGGCCTCCTGGAACTGTTGTCAGCGGGCATTAGAAAAAGCCGCAGCATAGTTCAACAGAGTTCTCAGTGGCGTGAAACAGACTTTGAGATGGGTGGCGAAACTTTAATGAAAGCATTTTTGGAATACCACACACAACAACCACAACAATTTCTCTGCTTCGTTTATACACTAACCACCCCCCAAAAAACTGCAACTCAAAGGCCTCGCTAGCTTCGCCAGGAGGAAAGTCAATCTGTAGTTCATTTCTGTGACATCACTGTGCTTGTAACACACATTGTCACAGCAGAGCATCCATAAAAGGAGTGTGAGTTCCTTATGAAGCAGGGTCTAATGCTTGTCTGGGTATGCCATTTTCTGAAAGCATTTATATCAAACCTGCACAATCTGTAAACACACAAACTAACACGTCTCCCCGCTTGTAGTCAAAATTATTCCCAGTTTTATTTCTCACAGAAGCCTGTTTGCTCCTAATGTGAACTTCTTACATAAATTGTATTTCAGTCCGAAATGTTTTGTTGCGGTCTTGCTGTGGGTTTGGATCCTTGTTTAATCTAGCAGCTCTGGGAGCAATCACTTTCTTCTACACGGGAGACAGGCAGACAGACGTCTGGATCCCTTTATGTCTTTTGTCAGAGGAAATGTCTCTTTCTCTTGTGGTGTGTAAGCGAGCCCAGAGAGACACGTTGGACCCAGTTTTGATCCTCATGTCCTCTCCATGTAGACAGTTGTACCAATTAAGACCTTTCTGGAAGACTACATACCTTATTAGATCTGTATAAAAAGTATGAGTAGTGAAGTTGGACAGTTAATTAATGTGAAAACACAAATATTGAGCATGTCAGATTTCCTTCTATCCTCAGGGATTCCCAGTGACATTGTTTTCCTTTTGCCATCTCCGTATCCATTTTTGCTGTTTCTAAAAAAAAGAAATGTAAGCCAGGTCAATAACCCCTCTCGCTTATGTACCATCCACCACTTCATCTGATTGACCTGCCGGGCACTGTGAACTCATTAAGCATTGAGAAAGACCAGAGAGATCCATGCTAACCACTAATTGAAGTCAGCTCCAGCAGCTGGATGGCAACAATGGAACCCTGCATGCACTGCTGTACAATCAAAACAAATCACAGGGCGAGGAGATGGCTGTTTGGCTATTGCATGCGCCTGATGCCTTGAGAAATGCTCACCATACAATATATCTGAATGGGTCGCAGATTTAGCCTGATGAGAGAAGACTTCAGAGTTTGTTATGAGTTATGGACCGGGTGAACCGCAGGCCCGATGGTTTCTGCGAGTGAGTTTGTCAGGTTGGAAGTGCGCCATTAGAATCGCCTCTACCAGAGACGCCATGCATTAATACTCTGGGCTGTTGAGAAGAACCAAGGCCCAGCATTATCCTGATTGGAGAGGGAGGATATCCTATTACCAATTGTAGTGCCAATAAATTCATTTCCCCCTCCATGCCATAAATATAAATGTGTTTATTCTGAAGTTCAAATGGTGACATACAAAAGCTTGGAAATGGGCGCATCTCAGTCAAGCCTGGCCACAGATTATTTCAACATGCAACACAGCGATATCATTTGCTATAATAATGTGGACCGCCTAAGACAGACACAGAATGACACTTAAGCCGCGTGAGAAATTCCATTGATGAAAAACATCCAGAAAAAAGCTGCTCTAGTCAGCCAGTAGATGTCACTTGTGTTTTCTTTATTAAACTGATTATTGTTCTAACAGTGTCTGACTACGGATGCAGATCAGAGATATGAAACAAGGCATAATGAAAAAAAAAGTTATTATTAATATTGCTCTTTATAGTGATGCTCCTCAAAGTCAACTTCTGACATCCAGACCTATAATCTGCCTCATACAGTATGTAAATTACTACTACTAACTACAATCTCCTACTGAAGTTGTAGTGCTGATACCTGACATTAACAAATATAAGGTAAGAACATATCCTTTCAGAATCTTTGGAGCAGTCCAGCAACATCCTACTGCACTTAATTAAGATGGAGAACTCGATTATTTAACATTATTCTTTGGCATGTTGCCTTTATTGGAAAACTGTCTACAGATGCAGACAGAAAGTCAGGTACGTGAGAGAGAATGGGTTTAATTAGCCAGAATAAGTTTAAAACCTATGTGGAGGGCCTTTAAGAAACAAAACAAATCAATGCAGCAAAAGCTGAGTTAATCTGAGTTTTATTCTCCAGTGCATAATGGCTCCAGCTCCACAAATGCTTAATCCTAAATTTTCCCATAATGCAACTCATTAGCGTCTTTCATTTGACCCACAGGCCTCCTATGCACAGTTCTTTCAAACCCCACACTCCCAGTTTGCAATGCAGGCTTTCTGCTAGAAACTGTCTCAAGTCCAAATTGGAATAACCCTTATGACATCATCAGGGGAAGACAACAATTTTTTTGGACAGAGTAGTACTCCTCAAGAAAAGCTAGCTGCAATTCATGTGTAAAATCTGTGCAGTGTTCCTTTAAAAAGAATGCTTTTCAACACATTCCTTTATTAAGGAAGAGGGTCAAACCAAACCTAAATCCTCCTGCTTGTAACAGCATAACCTTTCTGGAAAGTACTATAATTACTGATTTTAGAATGTCTGTAAAAAGTATAGGTACGTGATCAAGCGACTCAACTGAAATAATTAGTACTTTCCACTACTTTCTAGTACGGCTCAAATTTCTTCCGATTCTGCTCTTTTCTCTTTAGGCAGCAGGGAGGCAGCATTCACTTATGCCATCACCGCAGCCGGAGTCGCCCACGCGGTGACCACAGCTTGTAGCCAAGGCAACCTCAGCCAGTGCGGCTGTGACCGCGAGAAGCAGGGCTACCACGACCACGAGGAGGGCTGGAAGTGGGGAGGCTGCTCAGCTGATGTCAAGTACGGCGTGGAGTTCTCGCGGCGCTTTGTAGATGCCCGCGAGATCAAGAAGAACGCCCGTCGGCTGATGAACCTGCACAACAACGAGGCAGGGCGAAAGGTAATGCCAGCAAAATCGATCTGACTGCACAAAGAACTATTGTATAAAATGATATCCACCCAATCAACTTTTGAGGTTCACTAATGAAAACATCATACAACACCGTAGGGAAGAGGAAAATGTATAATTTGACATAGATTGTCCACAATTCTTAAACATGACTAAATTATTTATTGTGTAGTGTTTTCATTCAAGTGTGAGTGTGTATGTGTGACAAAATTGCAAAACTGGGCAGACACAGCTGCCAACATGGAGTTGTGCCATAGCCTTAGAATCCATTCACTGAATTAGTCTGCATTAAGTGAGGATAAGAGGATATTATTGCAAGTCTCTCTCTCTCTTCCTTTCTCTGTGTTAGCACCAAAGACCATGCTTCTGCACCACCGCACACACTGAACCAAATAAAGCCGAGCACAAACACCCCCAGAATTTGAGACCCATGACTATGGTGCTCTGGACAAACAAATTACAAGATGTCCCTGAGTTTAGTTCTTAGCTCGTGAGCTTAGTCGCTAAAAACTCATTACAATGTAAAATGTATCTACTATAAAAAAATTAACATCAAGCTCAGTCACAAGGGTAAACAATCACCTGTCAATTTTGTCATCTGAAAATATTTGTATGGCATTATAATATAAATCTGTCTCAAACCACAATGTAATTCTATATGTGTATGGTTGCACAACTGCTCTGGTCAGTTTTCTCTGGCTGTCACGCCATTATGTGGTCTGAGGAAAGGTAAAGTTAATTAGAGACTACAGTCTTGGGATGTGAGTTATTTTCCCCAGGTTTTTGACATAAAGTTGGCACACTGGTTGGTGTGCTGAAAGTCGAAGTGTCCACAGAAAGCCCAGCTTACCAAAAGAGACAGATTTAAAGGCTGTGCGATTGGTTTAACTGTTTCAAATTCAAGCCATGGACGTGTACACACAATATATTTTCTGCTCTTAACTGTCTCCTTAAATTCATACAGATCTAATTTCTACTCTCTGTGTGATCAGATCCTAGAGGAGAGGATGAAGCTGGAGTGCAAGTGTCACGGTGTGTCTGGGTCCTGCACCACTAAGACCTGCTGGATCACCCTGCCAAAGTTCAGAGAGATTGGTTACCTGCTGAAGGAACGCTACAGTGACGCGGTTCAAGTAGAGCCGGTGCGAGCCTCACGGCTCCGCCAACCCTCATTCCTACGACTCAAAGAGGCTCGGGGCTACCAGAAGCCAACGGACACAGACCTGGTGTACCTGGAGCGTTCGCCCAACTACTGCGAAGAGGACACAGCCACAGGAAGCGCAGGAACACGGGGCAGACTGTGCAACGGCACCTCGACACACACAGACAGTTGTAATGTGATGTGCTGCGGCCGGGGTTACAACACACACCACTACACGCGCGTCTGGCAGTGCAACTGCAAGTTCCACTGGTGTTGTTTTGTCAAGTGCAACACCTGCAGTGAGAAATCAGAAGTTTTCACCTGCAAGTAAGATATGAGGAAAGGACTTATAAGGAAGTATTTATTTAACAATTTGCACATTTTCACAACCTCTTTTGGAATTCTTTAAAGACAGACATGAGGTTTGACTCATTATAAAAAAAAAACATATTTTCTTGCACGCTGGTACAAAACTGTGACATGATGCAAACATGTTGCAGCTGAAAGGATTCGATGTTCTCTTTGTAATAGCTGACATCTACAAGATGTAGCTTACAGATGTCATGCACAAGAGTAAAAACAAGGACTATTGTTGGATCTTGACTTTTCGTAACACGCTAACTGGAAATGTTACGACAGCAAAGTGCTTCAGACTGCCATGAGAGGAGGACAGGCTCCTGATGAAGATTGGAAGACAGCAGAGGAATACTTTTAACTGTACGCTCACACTGTATTCTGTTTGAACACTGAAAATAAAACACAATTATTTATGTAAAAATATCTTTCAAACCACACAAAGCCTTAACATGGATAGCACACTCAATCACTCTAACATTTTCCCTCTCTTTTATGGTCATTCATTTGCTACTGACACATTTTAAACTGAGAGTAACTGATTTTTAGTCCTATGGAGTGGAATTTACAGCCACTAAACTGCAAAATCCTCTACATATATTTTATTTTTATCCATTATCAGTGGCATATGTTGCTATAGATTAGTTATTTTTCTTGTGCACTCACATTGCTTTCTGTTTTTCATTGGACATCAGTATGTTGAGGGGTTGTGGTATTGAGTGCTGTGCTGACATATCTCTCATGGACATGTCCTCTCCCCCCGCGTCCAGATCCTTTGTTACACCAAGAGCCAAAAAGATCTCTATTTTACGCATCCAACTTCTCAGTTTGAACGGCACTTTCCATCCTGACCATGTACATTGTTTTATTTTCAGAGGGCTCTTGACTTCTGTGAAAAGCATGTAAGCCTCACTGGAACTCCATAGAGGTGCAATCAGGTTCAGATACAACCAACATTCCCATGAACGGTAGAGACGTGGAATTCCACATGATGGCCTCTGCTTACACTAGGCCTTCCAGCGCGGTTTAGGCCTGCCTGGGTGGATGGCATGTGCCCTAACCACACAGAAGGGGGTATGAGAGGATCAAAGGCCCAAAGCTATTTTTGGACAGCACCCTTAATGTATTCAGAATTGCTTATTTAGGCTTTATATAACTTACGAAACAATTTGAAGAGTATATTTTTATATGAGGAACGTGGCACTTTATGTCATTTATAGATGGAAAAGGAAAGTCACTATTTACAAGTGTTTTCTAATGTCATTGTTTTCAGATTTGAGAGCTATAAATTATTTGGAATTTACGCCTTTGATCAAAGTTCCTAAACTGTAAATACGCCACGTGTTTCACCAGATTGTCCGTCTCGGTACGATTCTTCACAATTCAGTGTAGCTCATAAAAACTGTGTGATTCACCAAGTGCTAGAAATTCCAGGAAATGTTGTGGCAACCACTGCTAAGTGTTTGAGCAAATACATGGAATTGTGAGTAGAAAATAAATTGGAAGCTTTGGCAAACAACCAGTTGTGCAGCTTTCGAAGAGATTTCTGTGTTTCCAGTGTTCTTTCTGTAAGTAGGAACAACTCATTGCGTTCCCAAAAGCAACTTAAAACACAGTTTCTTTATTTGTTCTGTGGCAAAAATCAAAGTCTGCATCACTTACAAACATGAAGTTGTACGTTTTTCTTTTTTACCAATAAAATTTGAGCATCCTTTTTTAACGCCTCTTGAGTTTTATGTCAGATGTGGCCTTTATTGTCTTCATTAAAATCATTACAAAAAGCGGTTTGTCACACACAACACTTTATTAAGCATTATTAAGCATATTATTTGACCCAACATGAAGCATTTACTTTACACCCTGACAAAGTGGGTTTTGTTGAAGGAGAATATCAAACCAGAAGGCACAAATACAATATAGTAGAGGCCTGTGGTATAAAACGCTGATATGGGAAATAGAAGAACTTCTGTCCGTGACTGATGTGGTACTAAAGCGTCAGGAGGTGAACAGACCGCCGCGGCCCTGCCACCTCATTCAGCCCGGCTGACTCGCACAGCCTCTTTCCTGTGGGGCTGAAAAGCATTGCAGCCAGCCAGTCGAGCGCAAGTAACAGCTGTTTTGTTAGCCGTCTGAAATCCTGGGGACCGGAACCGCATAAGCTCCCTTCACTATGCCGCCGGATTGAGGGGAGAATCCAGCCGATTGTTTCAATACATTTTGTCATTAAAAATCAGAGGCAGAGCAAACAGGGTGGAGCAGGGTGTGGGCAGGCACGTAAAGCACTGCATTGTTGAGGTGTCAGGATCATTCAGCTTATCCAGAAACAGGAGGAGCAGGGAGGGATGTAATTCTGCAAACTAATGCTTCTGGTCTGATTCATTCACTCACTCTTTGGACGTAAACTTTCAGTATGCTCTCATCCATCGTCTACTGATCCAGAATCACTAACTGATCAAAAGACGCATACACACAGACAAACTACAGCTAAATAGGAAGTATAGCATTTACTAAATCTAAAAAAAAAACCAAAATAAGTCTACCCAGTCTTGTAAAACTCAAACATAGTTTGCTCAGAGCGAAGAGAAGCGGTCTAAAGTGTACATGAACTCAATGTTGTGAGTTTAAGGATGCTTACTGACCTATGATGCCAGCCATTAGCCCTCATGCCTTATCTATAGGATATAAACTGAAGGTTAAGATTAGGATAAAATTCACTATGTTGAGCATAAAACTCGTTGCTCTAGTAACCTTGATACAAGAAGAATGACAAAAGCAAGTAGAGATACAGGGAGAAGCCCATACTGTATACTGAGCATTGATTTTAAATTACAAAACATGCATAGCTTCAGTCATTATTGGTTTTAGTATTGCATTTTGCACACTTAGATGTCCTTAGATTATGATTTAATAATATTATGCCTGTAGTTATTTTAAGCTTTTGAATGAGTAAAACAAGTATTTGTCCTTCTGGCAAAGACATTTAAGTAGGTAAGGCGGTGAGGGGTTGATTACATCATGTTTTGGTCATTCTCGGTTTCACGGTTACTGCAGAAGTCACTACGGGCTTGGGATTAAAACCCAACCCCTGCTGGTAACATCAGTGTCTGTGAAAAGTGAAAAGCCGGGACACTGTGGTGCTCTTTGTCTTTGGATTAAACCACAAAGCATCAGCCTTGCCAAAAGGTACCAGCATGTGCTCGCCTCTCCAAGACCCTTCATTTCCCTGACTCAGGTCAAAACAAAACAAGAGCTCATGCTTATGTACCAGGGGAACCCCATGGGCCTTTTGTATATCGAGAATACTCCATCTGGACATGAGTGCAAGCATTACTGAGGTAGAAAAGTAAGTTATACATACTTCTCTGATAGAAATAATTAATTTAAATATGCTTGTCTGGTTAATCTATCGGCAGTGTGGCTGTCAATTATTCTGGACAGGCACAAAATGTATGGGTTTGAGGACAGGTCATTCACCCGCAGATGAAGGTTAATTAAGTATTAGCTAACTGTAGGGTAATGATAAAATGAGGCTTGTAACATAACATGAGTGCATGTTCACACAAGCTTATACGTGTGCACATGTACTTTATTCCTTTCTAAATAAATACTTCACATGAAAACCTGCTTGCGGGTTGAGGACCTCCCCTCTCCTGGCTGACCCTCTAAGGTTTTCAAGAGTCTTTCTTCACAGGTTTGAGCAGCAAGCTTCCATCTCGCTCCTCCACCAGGAAACCCAACTCCCTGAGTGCAGAGTAGTCAGCGGTGCCACGCCGTTCCAGGGCGGCGACCAGCTCCTGGTTCTGCCTGTTGTTTTCTAGAAGGTTCCTGATGGCAAAGATGGCCCACTGGCTGATAACTAGAGGCATCGGGTTAAGGACAACAACAAGAACAAAACACACTGTGCTTCCTGGCACTTTTGAGCATGTTTAATAGGCATGTTTTCCTGGACTAGTTGGTTTCTCCAATGAAGTTGTGTTATTTAAAAAAAAATCTAAAGTAGCAAAAAAAGAGCTACAGTTCATAGCTTAAAAAAACAAGAATACACTTGTCAGGTGTCACATTATTTGTCATGTCCCAACATCGGTTTAGAGTTGACTTATTATAGTAGTCACAGGAAATGCAATGTGTTTTTCAGTGAGCTTAGCACTCAATGTTATGGTTCATCAAAAATGTCTGCAGAACAAAGTGATAATTTGCGGCTTTGAAATACTGCGGGAAGTACAGGTGCTGGTCATATAATTAGAATATCATCAAAAAGTTTATTTATTTCAGTAATTCCATTCAAAAAGTGAAACTTGGATATTATATTCATTCATTACACACAGACTGATAAATTTCAAATGTTTATTTCATTTAATTGTGATGATTAAAACTGGCAACTAATGAAAATTCCAAATTCCAAATACCAAATTCAGTATCTCCGAAAATTAGAATATTACTTAAGACCAATACAAAAAAAGGATTTTTAGAAATGTTGGCCAACTGAAAAGTATGAGCATGTACAGCACTCAGTGCTTAGTTGGGGCTCCTTTTGCCTGAATTACTGCAGCAATGCGGGGTGGCATGGAGTCAATCAGTCTGTGGCCCTGCTCAGGTGTTATGAGAGCCCAGGTTGCTCAGATAGTGGCCTTCAGCTCTTCTGCATTGTTGGGTCTGGCGTATCGCATCTTCCTCTTCACAATACCCCATAGATTTTCTATAGGATTAAGGTCAGGCGAGTTTGCTGGCCAATTAAGAACAGGGATACCATGGTCCTTAAACCAGGTACTGGTAGCTTTGGCACTGTGTGCAGGGGCCAAGTCCTGTTGGAAAATGAAATCTGCATCTCCATAAAGTTGGTCAGCAGCAGGAAGCATGAAGTGCTCTAAAACTTCCTGGTAGACAGCTGCGTTGACCTTGGACCTCAGAAAACACAGTGGACCAACACCAGCAGATGACATGGCACCCCAAACCATCACTGACTGTGGAAACTTTACACTGGACTTCAAGCAACGTGGATTCTGTGCCTCTCCTCTCTTCCTCCAGACTCTGGGACCTTGATTTCCAAACGAAATTTACTTTCATCAGAGAACATAACTTTGGACCACTCAGCAGCAGTCCAGTCCTTTTTGTCTTTAGCCCAGGCGAGACGCTTCTGACGCTGTGTCTTGTTAAAGAGTGGCTTGACACAAGGAATGTGACAGTTGAAACCCGTGTCTTGCATACGTCTGTGCGTGGTGGTTCTTGAAGCACTGACTCCAGCTGCAGTCCACTCTTTGTGAATCTCCCCCACATTTTTGAATTGGTTTTGTTTCACAATCCTCTCCAGGGTGCGGTTATCCCTATTGCTTGTACACTTTTTTCTACCACATCTTTTCCTTCCCTTCGCCTCTCTATTAATGTGCTTGGACACAGAGCTCTGTGAACAGCCAGCTTCTTTAGCAATGACCTTTTGTGTCTTGCCCTCCTTGTGCAAGGTATCAATGGTCATCTTTTGGACAGCTGTCAAGTCAGCAGTCTTCCCATGATTGTGTAGCCTACAGAACTAGACTGAGAGACCATTTAAAGGCTTTTGCAGGTGTTTTGAGTTAATTAGCTGATTAGAGTGTGGCACCAGGTGTCTTCAATATTGAACCTTTTCACAATATTCTAATTTTCTCAGATACTGATTTTGTGGTTTTCATTAGTTGTCAGTTATAATCATCAAAATTAAAAGGAATGAACACTTGAAATATACCAGTCTGTGTGGAATGAATGTATACATTATACAAGTTTCACTTTTTGAATGGAATTACTGAAATAAATCAACTTTTTGATGATATTCTAATTATATGACCAGCACCTGTAATGGACCAGTCAGGAGCAGCCACAGTGAGCAGATAGATGAAGAGCTGCAGGCTGTGCACCTCCAACTTCTCAGCGACAAATAGTTTGTTTTGCTGCCCCCAGAATTCTGGGACACGTAGTAAAATAACTTTAACATTTGCTGTTACCACCAGTAACTAGATGTCGCCAAATCAACAAGGAATCAAATGGGTCGGTGTGTAATATTTAGGAGGATCTATTGACAGAAATGTAATGTAATAATAACTGTAACAATTATGTTTTCAGTGTTGTATAAAGACCTTACATAATGAACTGTTTTTATTACCTTAGAATGAGACATTTCTCTACATACACTGCAGGTTCTCTTACATGGAAGTCACCATGTTGCGCTGCCATTTTGCAACAGTAGCCAAAACAGTCAAACTGCTCTACAGAAAGCGTTTCGTCACTACATTGAATACATACGAAGAAGAAGTATTAGTAGTAGTAGCAGTAATAGTAGCAGTAATAGTAGTAGTAGGGTTTAAGAATGCAACAGTTTGGTGATGTCGATGGGTCGCAGGCTTGAGGCAGTTATTGCAAGCAAGGGTTTTACCACCAAATATTAAATGTTATTTACTTTAAAATTATTTGTTCCATTACTTTTGTTCACCTAAGAATGCTGTGGTCTAATACAAACAGTGAAATGTTTTGAGTTGTTTAACACATCTAGATGTGAATACCAGGAAATGAGAGCTGAAATTCTGAACTCTTGACTCAGACTCATCTTTTGATCTTAAACCCAATTGTCTTCAGTGAACGAACAAAAAAAAAACAAAAAAAAAAAAAAAAGGGGGGAGGGGGCCTGTATATTATTTAGCACAAGAGCCGACAAAGAGTGTCGGCCACCATATTTTCCCCTATGCGCTTGCAAAGGGAGACGGGAGCGGTGACTGAGCCGGTGGTTACAATTTGCAACCCTCACCACTAAATGGCAGTAAAACTTCCACACTGAACTTTTAAATAATTATTTAATGTTAGACATGAGCATGTGTAAGCAGTTGTAATGCCCAACAGAATTCAAAAATTGGCTTCATGAAATAATGCATACTAATAATAATGCATGAAAAAAAAATAATACTACTAATAAAAAGTAGATAGGTAGGTGAAAGGTAGAATGGTAGAGAGGTTATAACAGTGGTATTTGCAACACAGGCCAAAAATTTTCAATGTCCAACTCAGCATGCCAAACTCATGAGTGCCTTGTATTTGCTTTAAGACACGGAGTACACAGACAGCCCAACAAACAAATGAGTTTTGCAGACAGGTTATATTTTGTGATACAAAACATTCTCAACTCACTCCGCTCAAGTTTCCCACATAAATCCATAAAAAAGTTTTTTCCTTTCACAGTCTTTTCCTGAACAGAAACGAATGCTGACACCATCATGAAAAAGGGCAGAGTGTGTGTGTGTAAGCATGTATGGAAGAGGGGCATGGGGACAAAGGCTCTGCTCAGACTATTGACCGGGTTAAAGGCCAACCTGGCACGGTGCCCTGACTTTAGCCAGCTAATTCCAACTGGTAGCAGGCCAGTGGGGGCAGTGTTTTCGACAAACCAATACAACTGTCCTTCAATAAATCCTATCTTTGTGAAACGTACACTGTTTTTGTCGACAATGTGTCAGATAGATGTGATTCTAGTGTCATTTTTGAGGCTATAGTTAGTGATGTTGTTATACTGGATTGCATGATATTGAGAGGTGCTTATAATATTTTGTACACCTCATGTATGTAAATGGGGGATAATCAAACATTAGAAACACATATCAAAATGCAATCTGATACAAAAGCACCACTGTGGTCTAAATAATTACCATAAAAAAGACGCGATCTGATACAGACTGTACTTGAACGCTCGTCATTACAAAGAGCAGCATTTATAAGCAGCCCAAAAATAATACAACCAATCAGTTGATGGTGTTGACCAGCTGTAGGCAAAGACATATTGAGAGGTGGGAAGCACTATACTACATACTACCAGTGGCAGCATGTAATACATACTGCATACTGTTTTTTAGTAGTATGCAGTATTAAACTATGCTAGGTTATGCTAGGTCCAGGCTTAGCCAGTTTCCGATTTAGGAAAGCGAACATAAATAATAGGAGGACTATAAATGTAAGTAAATTTAATCTTGTGTAAGGCGATCAAGGCTGAGCCGATCTGTAACATACGTAACGTTATAACTAGCTGCATTTGTCCTACGAACCATAACAAAGAAGAAATGCTTATTGAGCCTTCTATGCTTATTTTTGATATCATGAAGACAGCAATGTTAACCTTAGCAAGCTCTCAATAAGAAAACAATGAGACATAAATAACTTAAATATAACGTTGAGTTATGTTTTTTGTTATCAGAGACAGAGCAGGATATATTCCTCCTTGTCCACCACTGATGCAAGGATGGTGCTGTTCACCATTTCAACAATGACAAGTTGTTGAGACTGCCTGATTAAATAATGTTATAATGCATTATGGGACACAGTACGCGAGGTAGACTGATCCTATGCACATTGGAGATTTTTTCCGCATCAGTACAACATCCGGATATTTTTGGCATACTGTTTGTTTGCCTACTGCACACTGCATTTAGACCAAATCACTATATACTGCTAGTTTAGTAGGCGGTTTTGAATACAGCGTATGAGAAAATGTCACGTTTGATTGGCCAGCCTGCACGCACTGCAGCAATCAACTCTTGATGCAACACTTATTTGTGGTCCCGCTTTCCTGTGCAAACATGCCAAATTCAATTCTTGAAGTGCCAGGATAACATACACAATGACTAAAATGACTTCTGGGCATATATATGAACACTGATTTAGATAAACTTGAAATATATGTACAAAAACGCAGATGGTTTTTGCCTTTCCAGACCATCAACATATCTTAACAAAGGATACATGGGTTGTTGCTGTCTATGTTGCAGTTGTCCAAGACGAGGGGGATGCCTTCTAGTTCTCTCACCTGAGGAAACAAGTTCAGTGAAATGTAAGTATGGACTGGTAAAGTCACTTTCAATGTTTGTTATTTCTGAAAATTTTCAAATAGTTACAACAATTTAACACTAGCTGTGGAACAATACTTCTATAATGTAAAGTATTGTCAATAAAAGCTCATTTCAAAATGTTTAATCCGAGTATGTTTATATGCTATTTGCTTTGTGATTATATTACACCATGTGTAATTTTCTGTATTGACTGGCTTGATAAAACATTATTGAGACAACAGAAAACATGAAATTATGAAATGACTATGAAAAACAAAATGTAAGTTCTGACAGCCTCTCATTGCATTTTTAAAGAAATAGTTGAGGGTAGTGCTAAAAGCAATGACAGGTTTCACTTTTCAGCACACAATTCTGATGTCCATTCTTTCAATGGTGTGAAAATATGATATGCAAGCAGTGCAGTCTAGGCAGAGAAAACAAATTAATTTGAAGACCAGAAATGTATTAAACTTAAGTATCCTTCAAATCAGCAGCAGTGTGGTTGTGGGTTAGTTTCAGACCGTCACAACACAGGGTGATCTGCTCTGTTTCGTGTGTGTGATTCTATAGGTCCTTGCTTGCTGTTGCCCTCCTCTTGCCATTGTGGTTATCCTCCAAATAATATGGGTAGGAGCTCCAGAACAAGACGAAGTGCTGAGTTTCAGAAAACTTGCAATGTCATTTAAAATGTCAAAGAAACAAAGTCGCTGACTAGTACAAGCACCCAGGTCTGCATTTTCCACTTTCAAAATGATTGTCTGAAGTTGCTTACACTGTGTCCAAACCCATAAAGAGATGAATAACAAGCGACTGGACTCTGACTTCGGCCCGGTACACGCAGGGCAGCGCTTTGCATGCACATCTGAAATTACAATCTCTCCCAAAGGTGAACAGAATGACATTTGGTTTACTGGAAGAGATCTTAGTGAAAACAGATATGGGGTGATTTCTGACCACGGACAGACCACAGATCAGCATCCATAAATATTATAGAGAGGCCAACTGAGGGTGGCCATCCCACAAGCATTCCACAAATCTGTTTCTATTAAGTACGACTGAGTCTATAATGTGCCACAGATAGAGGCCAACTCCTCCCCATCCGCTCTATTATCTATCGGTGCTTTATCTTAATAGTGAGATGCTGACAGATGGCGATGGAGTGAAACTGATAAACTCACTAAAGCATGGGAGGGAATGTTTCACATTTCAGTGCAAAACCAAGTTGTTGAGTTGAAAGAACCCGTAAGCTTGCAGTCATAGGAACACACAACCTCACACTTCATTAGACATTACACTTATTTGCAGTCCCCAGCTGTGGTTTGATAAAACAGCCCATTACTAGATCCTGCACTCAGAAATGCTTATTTAGGGTAGACCTCGACCCCATTGTGTTAAAATGAGCAATATCTAAAGAAAAGGAACAATATTGTACTCCAAGTATTTGCCTGTGTGTTTAACATTAAGCATATTAATTCACAAATATCCATTCACTCCAACCAGCCAGCTGTTGAACTGGCCGGTGGAGGTTTTCAAATGTAAACATTGAAGTAAACATGGAGGAAAAGGTGGAGGTGATAACCACCAGCTATGATCCCGACCACATAGACAAGCAAGACCATCTCTGCATCCATCTCAACATCAGAGGAAACACAGAGGTAAACATGGAGGGATTACACACTGCTGCAATCCCGGCCACATGTTTCCCTCTGCCAAGCATCCAGCTAGCCAATGTGCAGGCGTTGGAAAATTGACTGGACAGCGTCCATGCCCACATCAGTTGCCAACGGGATATCAGAAACTGTAATGTCCTTTGTCACCTAACCTTTGTTAAATCCCGGAATACCGAACAGCACCATTCATCCAGGTGACCCTTTTTCTCTATACACCAATGTGGTGGGACAGAGGACTGGCAAAAAAAAGGAGGAGGTGTGTGCTTTATGGTGAATAAGGATTGGTGTGACAGTGGGAATATTAAGATGCTATCCGCTTTCTACCAAGGGAATTTACATTGGTCATTATCACAGGCATCCCACCACAGGCCAAGTACAGAGGCTGCCCTTTGGACTGCTTACAGACTGGTAATCCTGATGCTGCACTCACCGTTGGTGGAGACTTAAACATATTGACTGAGCCACAAGGGGAATAAATACTCTGGATCACTGCTACACACCATTAAAAAACGACTACAGAGCAGAACCGCTACCCCATGTTCGGGAAGAGCGACCATGCAGCCATCTTGTTGAGCTCAAAGTATGTAAACAAACAATGAAGACACGAGAGGTCAGGAAGAGGTCCGGCCAATCAGAGGCCCTTCAGTCTGCACTACACGACGCCATCTGGAGCACGTTCCAAGACACCACCATCCACGTCAGTGGTGACATCAATGACTGAGTCTGTGGTGGATTTAATTAGTAAAAAAACAAAAACAAACAAACAAACAAAAAAAGCAACTGCACCCAAAACGACCAGAAACCAAGGATTACCAGAACCACCATAAACACAAGCCAACACAAGGTAGATTTTTTTGTGCAATATGAGGTTGCTAATGAATGAATTAATGCTGCCATCAGTTTATTAGGTTGCATTTCACATCCTACCTGTTTGGTTTAAACGTTTGCACTAGTGTTACAGCTGTCAATCAAACTCTGTCATGGACTAAACGAGTTCATGTTTGCAGCTCTTGGTTTGTTTGTAATATGTAAGTGTGAACACAAACTGGAGCAGAACTAAAAGGCAACAATGTATAAATTTTTTTCCCTTGGTCCGGACCAACTGACCAAACTCGGATGTGAAAGCACCAGTTCATCCAACCCAATTTCCATCCATCCATGCAAACCTTGTTCTGGTTGTTGGTATTGCTGTGACAGAGATTTCCTATCAGCCTGATGAGGTGAGCCTTGAAGCTGATTACGGGAGAATTGGAGGAGGAGTCTCCATCTCCACTGAAGGAGGAGAAGTTTTGTGCCGCACTGAAAATATTCTTACTGGCCTTCCCTATAGCGTGCACCTGTTTCAGGAGCTCTGCAGAGAAAATGTAACAGGTGAAAAGCAGGAAAGCGCACACACAGTAAAAAATATGTAACAAAAGAGAAAAAGACATTAAATTCACCTACGCTTAAGTTCAAGCAATTACAGCAAATTACTTTGTATTATATTTGGAATTATGGAATTAGATTTAATTGAGTACCCAATAAGGTGATTTGTGAAACACTTATGTGTTTTAACTGCTTGTCAACACAGTGCAGGGTTGTGTACAGAATTCTTTATTTGTTTTCTGTGGGTGACTTGATGAGGATCTGGGTATTTCACAGCACCATTTCAAGGACTGGATATTGTGTACAGATGACATATTTACCATAAGTCGGCCAAATTGGACCCACAAACTGCAGTCGTGGAGCCAGTCAGAGAGGTTGTGTCAGTGTGTGTTTTCATTTACCAACAGTGGTCACTAGTAGGTCAGGATGGTTCTGTAGGAACATGAACTGCCTGAGGTCTGACGTCATCTCACACAGCACATCTAGCAGACTAATCACTGTCAGTGCCTCCTGCAGGACCTACGGGGGATTACAATCAACAGGTGTCGATCACATTGCGAAAGGATGGCGTGTGAGATAATGTTAGGGATATTCAATTCAATTCAATTCAATTTTATTTATATATATATATATGATATGTAAAACTAAAACTGAAAAAAGCTTTACTAACTTCATGAAAAACACAATACCAGTTCCACAGGCCTGCTAAACACACTTCTCTGTGTTTTTGAGGCCTGAGGAAGATAACATCAGTCAGGTTTACTATCTGTACCTCATCGCTAGAAGCTGAGCCAGTGGCGAGTGTCAGCACAGCACCACAGCCATTCTGGAAGGTACTAGCCAGGAAGCGAGCCACGCTGGGCGGGATGCCACACTCCTCTGAGTCCTCCTCTCTTAACTGGGCAAAGAGAAGCTCTAATAGAGTAACTCTGAAAAACACACACAAACATCTAAATGACACATCTGTACCTCTTAGTATCTGATATTACCACCCTCTGTGTGTAGGTATTATTACTAGATATTATTCCCTGGCAGGTAGTATTAGCTTTTCTTGGTAAACCAACTTGCTACTCTGCATTATCAGAAAAGTCTTGTATTAAGATTTTTGATTAGTTTATTTTCTGTCACTACACCTTTCATGGTGAGACATCCCAGAGTACATGCTTTCCACCAGAGCTGAAGATTTGAGGAAATGCTGGGTAGCAATGAGAACCCTGTAAATGACCATAAAGAAACTTAACAAGTTGTAGAATTTAGTTAGCAAATCATTAGGTGATATACACATACATTGTAAACTAATAATTGCTTTACACACACCAAAACAGACACACACTCTTACGTCCAGTCCAGGTCAGGTTGAATCCTACAGAGCTCCATCACCCTGAGTGCCAGCTGGATGTTCTGTGGCTCCGACACTTCTTCCACCTTGGCTTCATCCAGACATGTGTGGAGTACCATAGAGGCATAGCTTACTGCCTTCTCATCGTCAACACTGAGCAGCTGCCTGTTCACACATGTTGGGGTTGACTCAATGTGATGACAAGTGCTTGGATACATAGATATACGACGTAAGCTTTCACAAATAAAAACACTGATACAGAATGTGTAATAGTGTAAAAAGTACTTATTTTAGTGTTTTTTTAGTGTAGAAGAGACATGAGATGAGGATCATATACATAGAAGTCTAGGGCCAGTTTCAAAACACTCTTTACATAAGTGGGCCACCAGGATGCCCATACAAAACGTTTACTGATAACATTAACACTTATGATCAATAATCCTAGTGTGAATTATAATGATTTTATGTAACAGTGTTGCCTACTGTGTTAAAAAACCTTAATGCAACTGTGGCACACAAAGCTTACAGGAGAAGATTTGGGAAGCTCAGCCGCCAAATGTCATCTTTACACATCTGGTTTCCAACCGCTAAGTTACCAAGGAACTGGATCCCACAACGAAGAGCTGGGTGATTTAAAAAAGTATCAAAAAGATCACCAAAAATTTTTTTGTAATTTTATTAAGGATCAATGACCTAATGTAAGACTTACGTTCGAATATGTCATCTCTGCTCTCCACATTTGTGGTCAGAAGTAGGCCCAGGAGTTTAAGGGACACATCAATGAAACCAAGCTCCCTAGAAAAAACAAGAGAATGATATTATGCACATGCTGTGGGTTTAGTTGGTTTCTTGCTTATTCTTTGTCAAAGAAGGTGGACACACTTTATAATGCAATTAAGGGTGCTCCTATCAATCGGTCACCGATCATAATCGGCCAATAATGGCTTTAACTAGTTTGATCGGTGGTCGCTAAAAAGGCCGATATGAAAAGCCAATCAGATGATGCAATAATCGCCAGACAAATTTTCATCGGCAGCTAAAATGGTTTCACTACGCTGTTTGAGCGGTTTTCAAAGCTAGCTAGCACCAAAGTCCTTCTCAGACAAGAAGGGATTAACACGCCCACATAATCATTTACAATTACAGTTGAGCAGCAATCAGACAAGTGGAGCAACACGCAGGAGCCATCATGTGAAACTGTCGCAGCTGTGCTCATCTCACTCACATGCCACCCGCAACCGGAGTTTAATAGACACAGCGCATCAGGCAGAGAGAGAGACTGATCCTTCAGTGTGAGTTTCCTAATGCAAAGAGCGGTGCCACTCAATCAGCTGACTGCATCTCTCTCTCTGTTTTCATTACAAAAACGGAGACCTTTTGCTACGTTTCCATCTCCCGTCCAGATTAAAACGGTGAATCAGAAGATGTTTGTTTGGACTTGTGAGTCGGTCTTATTAGTCATGCAAAGCAAAAACACGATGATTTACAGATTTTTAGTTTTGGTATTTTTATTAAAATATATGTACTGTGTAAATAACACTTAACAGTTAGCCTAGCCTACTGTGCATGTCGCTGTATTTACTTTGCGACAACTCCCAGTCTGTTTTCCGCCGCCATCTCTCGTACTGCCGTGTTACTTTCAGTAACTTCGTTGTCGGTCAATGAAAAAAGCCTGTGTGGTTCTTGGTCTGTATTACTTTCTTCTTTCGCTAAATTGTCTGCTACTGCGGAGTACACCATCTGCTTCATGTTTACACTGGCACGCGCATTCCCAGTGTAGCTACCTGAACGGCCACTAGATGTGTGTTTTCAGTCGTTCTAATATAGACAGAGATCAACTCTGATACGCAGCTGAAACGCTGCTGTGGACGGAGAAGATCGTTTTCGTTATAAAACTGTTTTAAAAACGTAGCAGTGTGGATGTAGCCTCACATTACCCCACTCCTCTCTCTACTCCTCTCATGTCAACCCTCCCGTTTTCCCGAGATTCTCCCGTATTTTTCCGTTCTCATCTGGTATCCACCCGTTAAATGTTTCCCCGTAAATCTCCCGTATTTATAACCTTTATGAAATCAAATAAAAACCTTCTGGCCATATTTAAAGTGTTTGCTACTCTCCCTCTGGTAAAGTTGGTGGCAGCATGTAAGATATGTAGACTGTGCTTCCTGCAAGGATTAAAAATGAAAACAATCCACTGAAATGATATAAGGCCTATAGCCTATTAATGGCAAACCATATGAAATTATAATGAATATAGTAGCCTATGTAATATTAACAATTGACTGTATAATATGGAATTTCCATTGTATTTCCTTATTTTCAAATCTCATTGAAGGCAGTTATGACTCCTCTCTGTAGCCCTTCTCCCTCTCTAGGCTCCTCTCTCCACTCCTCTCTCTCCCCCCTAAAACCCACAGAACCTGCCTGAGCTTTCCAGAACAAAAAGCAGCTACTTCAGAGTTTATCGACTCATGATGCCTGTGCTCCTTTATCTCCTAAATAATTTGGCTACAGCCTTTTTTGTTGCAGTTTTTATGTTTGTAGTAAATTTATAAAAATTTATAAAGTTTGTTCTGTTTTTGTAGTTTATTCCACAGTGAAGCTATATTTGTTAAGCTATAAGATGTTCACAGTAACCAGGCAAAGGCTGCTATGGTTTAAGTCCCTAACACAGATTGAGTGGAATTTGTTGCCCATGTTTCCTGGCAATAAAATAAACATTTGTCATTTCATGATACTTTATCATCTGTTAACTTTAACACTTAATACATTGTTTTTAGGACCAATTAAATAAATATACAGTGTACTGTATAATGCTACATGATAAATAAAAGGCTCCAAATAGACCCAGTGATCGGTATCGGCCGATACTGCTTTCAGCATTCCGTGATCGGCCCAAAAAATCCTGATCGGAGCACCTCTAAAGGCCCTTGTCCACCAAAGCGTTTTTTTCTGACACCAACTCTTTTTTCAGTTCATTCCAATTGGAGCAGCGCGTTTTTACTAGCTGGTAAAAACGCCAGGAGCGTGACGAGGTACTGAGCGTCTTTTCGGCGCTGGGCGCTGAGCGTTTTTTTCCGGTCGCGAGAGTTGAAAAATGTTCAACTTTGGGGAAAAACGCTGCGCTCGTCACTGTCACTTTTTACCCAGCCGTCCAATCACAGTGCAGGAGGGGCGGGACAAACACCGCACCGAGCACATCCGATCTACATCAAAGCGAAGTGCCTACTCGCCGAGGTGTTTCCTCACCCGCAAAATCTCATGAACCCACGTACGGACAGGACAGTCTGTGCTCTCATGTTTCAGCCTTCTCTTCATGCAGAGCAAGGGCCAGAGCAAGTAGGCCTACATACTTTGTGGTGACATTTTTACATTCACTAAAATTCAGTAGGCTACCCTACTTGCAACACATCGCCTCCACGGAAATTTTGTATCATAGCAACCACAGCGTCTCGAAAAAAACAACACTGCGCCTCCAAAACGCAGCCTAGCGCTCCCAGCTAAGCGTTTTCAGAACAGCAGGTGGCGTTTTCAGCTGGTAAAAAACGCTTTGGTGGACACGGGCCCTCAATGCAATCAAATACAATAGCACTGTAATAACTCAACTCTACATTCATTTTTGACACCATACAGTCTGTGATGTTCTTATATATATCTCATATTCTCCCATCTAATAATCCCAGATCCTTCTACATGACTACATTAATTTTTTTAAAGGAAAATAATTGCCACAAAAAACTTCATTTTTATTTTAATTCAATCAACTAATCAAATGGTCTATTAAATCATGTCAATAATGATTTCAGCTGAAGGCCACCCTGAAATTTTCTTAATGGTTCCCACTATCTCATTGACACTGCATTGTACGTGGAATTACCTGAGCAGACTCTGGTTGCGAGCGCTCTGGACACAGGAGTTCCTCTGAGCCCTGAAGCACTCAGCAGCCAACTGCAGCTGAAGGGGGACAGACTGTAGGTCAGGATCCTCACTGCTGGCAGCCTGCAGCTCATCACACAGTTGGGACTGTACCTTTAGAAGAATGGAGAACGCCTCCTCCTCCACAGCATCTCTGGAACGGGAAAGTTGACCAACAAAAAAAAGGAAGGCAGCACAGTTACTAGTAGTGTAGTTGTACCCATAGCCTGAGAGCAACCAGGAGGGAAATGTGGAGCTGGGGTTCAATAACTTTTTCACAGCAGACATTTAAATGTGTCAAACAAAGGTGTTAACTAATAACATTATCAATTGCTGCTTTTCATTTTAATAAATGCAGGTACTGAGTCACCATTAATTTATTACTTATTATTGACGTTAGTTATTAATGTTCTGTTATTATTAGCCTATATTATAAGAAAAAAACCGTGATATTCCTGCTACGACTGCAGTCGTCTTTGTAAATAACTACAATGAAATTGATTTGAACATATCGGAGTTATGTTGTGGTTAGATGGCTTGTTAAACCTCCACCTTACTGTTTATTAACACAGAAAGGACAACAAACGGGCCTGAGTAATTGTCAAGGACCCGTTACGTTGGACGTTATCTTTGATAGTACGTAACGTTAGCTGACAGTTGGACTTCAGGCTAGCTTAGCCGATAAGCTAAAACCGTCAGTTTCCATTCAAAAGGGCAGTAAATTAATTTGTCCGAACCTGTATTCCTTGTCCCGTAAGGCAGTGGTAAATGTTTTTAAAACCTGCAAGTGTCCAGGGCAGTGTTTTTCTTTAAAAATGCCAGCGATAGACGCTGAGATGTCCAAGTTACCGTTGATGTAAGCTGCCATGTTTCCCTACTTTGTGCGCATGGGCGGGACGTCCGGATACATTTCTAACACGCTATTGGTTCAATCCAGGAAGAAGGCGGGGTCAGAGCATGTGCTGCTGTTGTCAAGTCACTCTACTCTGTGGACATGACATTTGTCAGAGCCAAAAATACAGAAAGAGACACACTAAAGAGACACAGACAACTTTAGTAATTCTTTGTCAGGGTTGATTAGTCAGGGATGGTTAGTGATTTATTAGGAGAAACTGGGCTGACAAAGAAGCTTCTTCCTTGCTTTCTCCATGCGTTTGCACCAGGTTTACACCTTTTTTAGTTATAGCTATTAATTCATGAAGTAATATAACCAATAAACTAATTTAGATATACTATATTGTCTTCCTGTGTTACTGACAACTTCAAATTCAACTTTATTGTCTGCAAAAGGAAATTTGCTTTTCAGCCAGGTGAAATATAAAACAGTAGCCTACAGTTTCCTAATAAGGAGATTTAAATAGGGAGTTAAAATGGTGATTACTAGCCTCATAATAGGTTCACAAATGATTCACTTATTTTTTATAGATCAGTTATAAGTTCTCTTCCAGCATCACGCTAGCTTTTAAGCACTTTTGTTCACCATTTTTCATGAAATTTACTTCATTGTCTGTTGAGATTGATCTTGCCCTGTTATAGTGTTATAGTCCCGTGAAATGCTTAGTAATTAGCATGTTTTACAGTGTTCTATAAATCAACTTAACATTTTGTTCTTGCTAGAGCCCATATCCACCATGGGTCCATTTGGGGACAATTTTTGCAGCTGTAACAATAAAGCCACCAGACAAGGCTTTGGGATTTCCATGTAGAGTGGCGAAATTTAGATTACAGGATTTTGCTCCATATGGTTGTCCCTTGTGTTTTCACTGGCCAGGCACAGCATAGCAGTGGTGAAATGCAGATCGATGTGGAAGAGAGCTGATTATGGATGGTAACATGTATCCACCTCAAGCAATTTGTCAGCTTTAAGATGAGGTATTCAAAGATCCAAACATTCCCAGTATAGGAGTCCCATTATTCATTCTTTGAGTGGAATAACTGGAAATATCCTCACAAACTGGAAGTGGTACGGTCAGAGGGGGAATCAGAAGAGTTGAGTTACAGAAAAAACAGGACATCCTATCAGATTTTGATTATTCTGGAAACCTCAGTTATGCTAACTAGAAGACAGCTGGTTTAGTCTGCAGTAGTACAGGATCTCACTAAAAAACATGAACACAATTAACCACATACGGTAGTTTTTATTTCACATGGCCGCACAGTCTGATAGTACAAAACACAATCAATGTTGAAAGAAAGTCTATAGATGATGCATTTTATAATCAAATAAAGCATGTCACATCTGGCCCGACAAAACAGATGAAACGGAGCAAATCAAACAATTCAACAGGTCAACCAACAATCGATCATAGTGGCACTCATAACAACAAAGTCTGAATTCAAGTTAAACACAGTAGACAGTGGTTAAGGCGATGACAGCATCCTGTTAATCTATAACATTGCTTCATTTCACTCTTGTAAAAGGTAAACTAGATGTAACAAATAAGAATTGAGTCTATTTCATTGCATGTAAAAAAAAAAAAATAATAATAATAATTCTTGTTTTATTGGTAAATACATTGTGTTGAAATTACTTACTAAGTGTAGGGCCTCCAGATATTCAAATCTATATTTAAATCATAATTGCCAAGTCATGTGTTGTATGGCTAATGCAATTTTCATTCACTTATTAGCTCAGATCAGAACCAGAACTCAGAGATAAAGATATGGATGATGACAATGTTGCGATGGGAATTGACCCCTGACTTGACATAGTTAATAGCCACCTCCACCACAAGCTCCATGGGACCAATGATACGTTTCACCTGCCGAATCACACCTGAGGAACGACACAGAATGGGATTAGTTACTGAAATTTAGTTGTAGGAAAGATGCAAGTAAATGTAATATAAAGAAATGGCCTTTTTCAAGTGACTATTTTTCAAGGATAATTCTGTAAACATCCAACTTTACAGAACTTGATTGTAAAGGTTGTAAAAAATGTTTTTCATGTTTGTTTAATGAACCAAAAGCAATTAACATGCACCTGTGGAACAGTTGTTAAGACACTAAAAGCGTACAGACGGTAGCCAATTAAGGTCACAGTTATAAAAACTTGGAACACTAAAGAGACATCTCTACTGACTCTGAAAAATACCAAAAGAAGGATGCCCAGGGTCCCTGCTCATCTGCATGAACGTGCCTTAGACATGCTGCAAGGAGGCATGAGGACTGCAAACCAGGGCAATAAATTGCAATGTCCATACTGTGAGACAGCGCTACAGGAAGACAGGGAAGACAGGAAAGACAGCTGATCGTCCTCGCAGTGGCAGATCACGTGTAACAACACAGGACTGGTACATCACCATCGCGTGACAGGGACAGGATGGCAACAACAACTGCCAGAGTTACACCAGGAACGCACAATCCCTCCATCAATGCTCAGACTGTCCGCAATAGGCTGCGAGAAACTGGACTGAGGGCTTGCAGGCCTGTTGTAAGGCAGGTCCATATCAGACATCGACCTTCGCTGGACCAGACAGGACTGGCAAAAAATGCTCTTGACTGCCGCAGTTTTGGCTCACCAAGGGTAATGGTCGGACTAATGCAGTGATTTACAGGGAAGATATCCTCCTCCCTCATGTGGTACCCTTGAGGGCCAGGGCCAGTCCCCCCGAGAAATATCTGGGCACTTGCATGTGCCTTGGTGGGATAACACCTAAAAGCAAGAACTGGCAAATCTGGTGCAGTTGATGAGGAAGAGATGCACTGCAGTACTTTATGCAGCTGGAGCCCACACAAGATAGTGACTGTTACTTTTGATTTTGACCTCCCTTTGTTCAGGGACACATTTTTCAATTTCTGTTAGTCACTTGTCTGCGAAACTTAATTCAGTTTATGTCTTAGTTGTTGAATCTTTTTATGTTCATACACATATTTACACATGTTGAGTTTGCTGAACATAAAAGCAGCTGAAAGTGAGGGGACCTTTCTCTTTTTGCAGAGTTTATATACTATGTAATAAAAGTTCTGATAAAGAATTGACAGCCTGGTTCCAAGTTATACTCTCCTCTTACCCATGATCGTGCCCTGGTGGAGGCGCTTCTGCACATCAAAAGAGGACTGATCATCTGCAGCCAGGATGTCAAAGAAAACCTCAGTGGCACCGAGTAGAGGAGCAGGGTTTGCTGCTGTAAGTGTCCGCAGGAAAACTATTTCTGTTGGAAGAATCGGTTTAAAGTGTCTGTTACTCTGATAGAAGCAAACCACAAAGTGCATTTGGGTCTTCAAATTAGATATTTATGATACGATTAAACAATTGTTCTGTGGGTTGAAATAAGTAATTGCTGTGGCAGATTTGTGGGTGGAACGTATTATTTCAATGAGGCTGCAAATTATTGTAGAATTTGCCATTACAACCTACGACTTAACTCTTTCAGCCCCTAAAACTTCTATAACAGCCTCTCAAAATCTCTTAATAGCTACATTTTTCTTTTTAGAATAACTAGGATTATTTGAAAATGAAGAAAATTTTATGTAAATAACTACATTCAAGATTTATACAAACACATGCACGCTATAATGTACAATTTTAAATGCAACCTGTGAACAAGGCCATCAAGGCTGACTTCCTCACAAACATCTAGGAGCTGTTCCCACGAACTTGCTGTATCTCCACCTTGTCTTACCCTCTGGTTCACTGAAGTCTCTGAAGGTTGGCAGGGAGAGGCCAGTGTGGGTGATAAGGTGGACAGGATCATGTATGCAGCTGATGTTGTTAGATTGGCAGGTCTTAACACAACGCACACTGACTGACGCATCTTCATTGGGTCTGAAAAGGACAACGGAAAGGAGGCAAGATAGAAAGGATAGAAGGAAATGGGGATAAAAGGGAGATATGACGTGTGCCAAGGCAGGATAAATACATACAATCTGAAGAAGAAGTGTGAAACCTATACAGTATTCACCAGGATTCAGGCTTTGACCAAAGCTCCACAGTTGAGTTGAGCAAGAAGAACCTGGCAACACCTGAATAGCCCCATAGACCTCCATGGTAAACCAAGGAACGAGTGGTTAGGCCAAACCTTGTTTCCACAACCTAAAATCATGTTTGTGGGGTTCCCCAACGTGCAGACAGTAGCGCTTTCAAACATAACCTCAGAAATTGCAAAGGGAGCAGAGCCATGTAATTAGTAGCAAGCAGGTGAGTCCAAGTTGTTCGCTGAGCACCAGGCCAAAGCCACAGAGATGATTGTGTGGTGTATTCCACACCAGCTAAATGCCACCAAGGAAAAACGGGATGGTAGAAAACCACACAAGGGTATGTAAGAATGAATGTCATTTGATGTGATCCAGTGACATCATATTCACATGGTAGACTAAGGAAAAAGTGTCATTTTTGACAGAATCCGCATAAATGCATTTCCAGATGACTGAACAGTGTCTCTGTAAAGTACTGACTCCAAAAAATATAGAGCATTTCACTTTTTTTTTTTCTTTTTTTTTTTTACATATTCAATAATCAACTCAGCATGTTGGTAAGTGGATGGTTATATAATCCAAAGATTTAAGAGAATAATTACCTCAAATATTTCATATTTTTGCATTTTCAATCAGCTCTAATATGCATTAAACCCCCCAAAACCACCAAGTGGAACAGTGGAAAGTTTGTGTGGCTGCATTACACAGCTGACCAACACAGCTACTGGCCTTTTGGTATCATTTACAGCAAATTAACTGATAACCACCCAATACCAACACTAAAAGCACCATCCATCATATGAGCTGTAATGCTGCTCCACCACTAATTGAGCCCCCATGCTGGCTGAGCCCCAGGTGCCCATAAATAAGTGCCGCGCTTATTTTTCTTCCTATCCGCTAAGGCGAGGCCCGTTTGATCCTATGGTGAGGCCGCTTGGAACAGGTCATAGGAAAAATGGGTTTCAACCTTAGAAATGACCACAGCGGAGGAAGCACGAGAGTAGTGGCAGAAGCCATTGCCGGTGTGTATGTGTGGGTTTGTGCTTCAATATTAAACAGCGAAAAGCCATTTTTATCTGTCACTTTTTAATTCCAAACACATAGAAAGTACACAACGGGAAGCTGCCACACAGATATGAGGTAGAGTGAGCTGCCATCAATGCAAATTAATGCACATGAACAATCCTGTCACAGAGCTGTACATCCTCAACATAGCTAATGAGCCCCATCTAGTGGTACAATGTCTTGATATTCTATCTACTGCTCCATCATAGGCTAGAATAAATAAAAATTAAAACAGTTGAACAACAAGGGATAATTTTGTTGTCTTATTGGTTTTTTTGGAACAAAGTCTCTGCATTGATAACCAATGATTTCCTCCATTAAATAAACAGCTCACTAATCTCCTTTGTTGGGGTTATGTGTTGGAATATTTCTTCGCTAGACGCAGTGACTTCCCGGAGCATCCGCTGGACGAAGTCAGGCTACCTCCTTCACTGTTGCCAGTCTTTGTGCTAAGATATGCTAACCGGCTGTTTGCGGTCGTTTCATTTTTGCCATCCAAACACGAGAGCGGGAAAACCGAAACGCATTTCCCAAAATGTCAAACTATTCCTTTAATAGCAATACTTTCTTCATATGGAACACGCAGTTCTGGCTTTCCATCTAGAGCTCAATAGCAATTAATCAGGCACAACCTTACAATCCACATTTACACACAGTCCAGCAATATCTAACAGAATGATAAAGCAGTCTTTATTTGATTAATAGTGACCATTGAGATTCATCATAACAGACTGCAGGACAGCATCATTTTAGCTTTGGCTGAATGATAGATTTGCCCCTTATTAACTGCTTTAAAGGTTCGATGGAAAGCTGGAGCTGTCAATCCAGTATGAAGAAAGGCTTAATGAAAATGAAAACCAATACTATAATACATGAGTGGTGAGTACAAAATAGGGATATACTTCAAACACTCCAAACTATTGTTTTAAATTTCGGACTAATATGTTCTCGAGGGCAGTATGGACAGCTCGTGTGTCACAAAAACAGCAATCTTAGCCATGTACAGATGTGCCGTCCCGTAGCGAATCAGCCTCATTTCCACAGTCAGAAAGAAGTCCCGGGGTTGGGATAAGGCACGGCGCAGGGAGATCTCTCCTCCATGAGCCTGCTGCTTCACGATGAAGTATCCCTCTTTGTCTCCGGAGACTATGTTGAGCAGTATTTTGTCTCCCGGCACGGAATTAGAGGGTCCCATCCGGAAAACATCAGTGGGGACGGGAGTGTTGGTGGGGAAGCTGATGTTGTAGAAGGAGATTCTCAGAGGGAGCAAGAAACACGACGCAGGATCCCGCGTGAACTCGCAAGTTACGCGTTCGCAACGGCTGAAAGGGAAAAAAATGGAATACTCATTGGATGGAGGGAAGGAACGGCTGCATACATGGGTAGAAAAAAGAATGGACAGAGTGGGAGTAAAAGATGGAAGGTGAAGAGTGAGAGTGTGAGACCAAAAACTGCGGGCAAATGTCAAAACCAGGCCAAAACCAAACAATGGAGTCTTAATACTAAACCACAGACCAGTAAGATGCATCATGCTCAGCTGGGAACAATCACCCATTTCATTTAAACAGCTTGCCATAACCAAGTAGCTATCAGCTCTCACCCCTGTGCTGGTTGCGAGAAGTTTGGAGGACACTTGAAGGACAGACAGCGAAATCCTCCCTGGATGTTGAAGCAGCTTTCAGAGACAGAACAGTTGTGTATCCCCGCTGCACATTCATCAATGTCTGAAAACACAGGTGGAAGCACAGGTGAGACACATAATTAAAAATAAACACAGCAATTAGTAATTAACAGGTCTGTCCATCTATCTCTCTCTATATCTATATCGCAACAAGGGACCAAAGGTTTGTCTACTGACCTAGGCAGGTGCGTCCGTTGGGGGCGACTGTGTAACCTATGGATGGGCAGGTGCAGTAAAAGCTTCCTGGGGCGTTAAAGCAGCGGTAGGAACACACATGACCTCCAGTAGGCAGAGCACACTCATCAATATCTGAGCGCAGCAGAGAGTAAAAGTTAGTGTCAAAAACAGACATGCCAGACTAAAAAGTACTTTATTATAAAAAGTGAGCAATATCTGTCACAGTTTATGGTTAGTAATGTTGATTTTACATGTGATCACTTAGCACTGTGAAGTCCAACAGTACCTTCACATGTTGTCCCATCGATGTCACTCAGCTGGTAACCACGGCGACAGTAGCACTGGTAGGAGCCATAGACATTGGCACATTCCTGGCTGCAAGGGTTTGCGTCACACTCGTTGATATCTGTCAGCATAAGGGCACAGATACAACATGTAGAATACGTTCTTTTGGAGAAATTTTCTTAGCATTTGTTATATAAAGACGCAATCAGAATTATTCGGCCCCCACTGCAAATCAGGTTTATTGTCAAAATTTACAAACTTTCAGCTGTTTGCAATGAACAAATCCAACAAAAGCAATTTAAATAGCTCAACACAATGAATGATTTAAGTGGTTTCCCCAAATTCAGCTGAAAATGCAACTTCTAATGACTTCTCCAGTCTCAAAATTATTCAACCCCTTCATGGCAAGCATCTTTAGTACTAAGTAGAGCACCCTTTTGCAGTTATCACCTGCTGCAACAAATGCAGCGCTCGTGAGCAATGGCCTCCAATTCAGTAATATTCCTGGTTTTGCGTGCTGCAACCGCATACACACTCATCTAAAAACCTATATGTATATAGGTTTTTAGATGAGTGATGAGTGATCTTACCTTCACAGTTTCTGCCGTCGTGAGACAGTTGAAAGCCAGTGGTGCAACTGCACTGGTAGGACCCCTCTGTGTTCTCACACTTGTGGGCACAGAGTCGCCCGGGGTAATTCCTGCACTCATTGATATCTAAAGAACACAGGGGACAGACTATGAATCTAAGAGTCAGACTTTGTAAGAAATCACACACACACACATAT